AGTAACAGGAGATGAGAACAGAGAGGCAGAGGCCAGAGCAGGTTTTGCCTGACAGCTGAAATTCTGTTCATCCTTCTCAACATTCCTATATTGTTGAGCTTTTATTTCACCCAGCTTAGTGCTTACATTAGACCAGGGTCTGCAGCAAGCCGTTTACACACATTATCTTATTTAACACCCACAATAGGCCTAGAGGGCTCAGTCTGAAAGCAACATTTCTTGCTCAGTTTCAGTCAATGACCATATCAGTCTGCCCAGGAAAGCAGCCAGAGCTAATAGACTGCCCATGTCTCGAATGGTATTGTCTCAGTGAGTGGAATAAAGCCCCAGGAGTCCACCCCCTGCCTGGTGCATCCTATACTGTAGAAAGTGATCAAAGAGTCCCTGGATTAAAGCAGGGTTCTCGGGCTAGAGTCCTCATTGGGGCCAGACTGGGCTGGCATGCAGCTTTGATCAACAAGTGACATGGGAAAAAGCTCAAATCTAATTTTGTGCAGAATCTTCTAAGGAGCTAGAAGAGAGGATGGGAAGGAGAGAGATGCTGAGTATCTTCCCTCCTGTACTTGATCTCCACTACTATACAGTACTTCACTCAACAGCTGGTTATTGAACACCTACTGTGTGCCAGACCTAGGAAAGGCCACAGCTTAGTCTGTGTGGCTGGGTGGGAATATAAGCTGAAATTCGCATACCTTGGCTCTGCTCTAGCTGCTTTAGCACAAGAAGAGGGGGATCCTTTTGTAAGTTCCTCTGTCTGGAAGGAGCACCAGTTTTCTGATTCACAATAAAGGGAAATACAATTGTGCATGGCTTAGCAATGGGGATACATTCTGTGAAATGTGTCATTAGGTGATTTCTCATAGAGAACATCATAGAGTATACTTGCACAAACCTAGGTAGGATAGCCTACTACACACCTAGGCTATACATATAGCCTGCTGCTCTTAATACAAACCTGTACAGCATGTTTCTGCACTGAACTGTAGGCAACTGCAACACAATGGTATTTGTATATTTAAGCATATCTAAACATAGAAAAGGTACAGTAAAAATAGAGTATTATAGTCCTATGGGAACACCATCGTGTATATACAGTTCATTGTGGACTGAAATGTTGTTGAACAGTACATGACTTCATGTGCTGACAGAGGCAGGGGATACCATAGAAGGCAAATAAATACAAAATTCCTGTCTGTTTGGAACTCACATTCTAGAGAGGGAGACCAAGAATGATACCTGCCCTGAAGAAAAATTAAGCAAATGGACATGATGGTGGTGCTGGTTGATATTTTAAATCAGCTGGTCAGGGAAGCTCTTTCTGAGGCAGGACCTCTGATCTGGTTCCTGAGAGAAAGTGGAGAGAGACCCATGCAAAGGTGTAGAGAGAGAGATTTCTAGAGAAGGACACAGTAAATTTGCAAAGGCCCTGAGGTAATTACTAACTTGGTATATTTGAGGAATATAGTAAGACCAGTGTATTAGAAGAGGAGGAAAGAAGGCAAAACTTAGAAGTTGGGTCAAATCATGTAGGGCCTTATGGGCCATGGCTAGGATTCTCACAGATTGTGGGTTTTTGTTTGTTTTGAGAGATTTCATCTTGTTTCGTTATCCAGACTGGAGTGCAATTATGTGATCATAGCTGACTGCAGCCTGAACTCCTGGGCTCAGTCCCCTCACCTCAGCCTCTAGAGTAGCCAGGACTACAGACACATGCCACCATGCCTGGCTTCATAGATATATTCTAACATGAAGAGAAGCCATGGACAAGTCCCAGCAGCAGAATTAGCCTTGTGTTTGTAAAAATAATATTCTAGCTGCTCTGTTACCAGCATTGTGTTCAGTGCTGTAGAGGCACATAAAAGACTTTTGCAACCTTATCTAATTACATAAATACTGTGTATCCACTGCAGAATAAAAGACATAGGGCTATTCATAGCAACATTATTCATAGTAGCCAAAAGGTAGAAATAACCCAAATGTCCATCTATGGATGAATGAATAAACGAAATGTGGCATACATACAATGGAATAGTATTCAATCTTAAAAAGAAATGGAATTTGGCTGAGCATAGTGGCTCATGCCTGTAATCCCAGGACTTTTGGAGGCCAAGGTGGGAGGATCATTTCAGGACAGGAGTTTGAGACCAGCCTGGGCAACACACCCAGACCTGGTTTCCACAAAAGATTTTTTAAAAATTAGCTGGGTGTGGTGGCATGGGCCTGTAGTCCTAGCTACTTATGAGGCTGAGGTGGGAGGATGGCTTGAGCCCAGAAGTTTGAGGCTGCAGCCAGCTATGACCCTATGACTGCACCAGTGACTACACCACTGCACACCTGCCTGGGCAACAGAGTAAGACACTGTGTAAAAAAAAAAAAAAAAAAAAAAGAAAAAAGAAAAAGAAAAAAGAAAAAGGATTGAAACTCAGATACATGCTACAACATGGGTGAATCTGAAAAATATTATGCTTGAAATAAACTGGAAAAAAAGAACCAATATGCTGTGATTCCACTTATTTGAGGTACCTAGAATAGTCAAATTCAAAAAGGATAAAGTACAATGGTGGGTGGTTGCCAGCAGTTGGGGGGAAAGGGTAATAGAAGTTAGTGTTTAATGGGCTCAGAGTTTCAGTTGTGTTGATATTAAGTTCTGGAGATAGATAGCCATGATGGCTGCACAACAATGTGCATTTGCATAATGCCACTGAATCGTACACTTTAAAATAGTTCAAATGATAAGTTTGATGTATATTTATCACAAAAAATGTGTTTTAAAAAAGACATAGAGTTAGGAGCTAGAAATAGAAAAATGGCCATTCTAGGCAGAAGCAACAACAGGTACAAAGCCCCTGAGGCAGGACTGTGCCCAGCGTGCTCGAGGAACAGCAAGGAGGCCAACATGAGTGGGGTACAATAAGGACAGTGAAGTGTGAGGGCTGATGATATATTGTCTTGCAGGATCCTGTAGTTCCTTAGGAACCTAATGGGAGGTGGGAAGCCACTGGAGGGATTTGAGCAGAGGGGCAATACAATCTAACTTTGGATAAAATAAGATCATTCTGGCTGCTGCGTTCTTTAATCTGAGTCTCATTGGCCAATAGGTGTAAGAAAAACACCTACCTCACAGGGTAAATGTGAGCATTTAAAGAGGTAATGCATGTCAAGGGCTTAACATGGTGTCTAACATAGAGTAAGCACTCAATAAAAGGTAAGCACTATTGTGATGGAAATCCAAAGAAAGACAACAGTTCCCTGAAGAGGAGTTTTAGAAGGCTTCGTGGAGGAGGTGGCAGTTCAACTAGACATGGAAGGATGAACAAGGAGATGCATGGTCAACAGCACGTGAAGGAAAACAGAAAGCCTGCAACAGGATGAGCGAAGCTCAGGGCAAAGCAGGAGACAGAACTTTTGATCAGTCCTAGCAGGTCACAGGCGAGGACGGTGGTGGACCCTAGAGCCGAGGTGATGGAAGCCTTGAAGGTTTTGCTGCAGAAATCAAGATCTGAGCTGTCATGTCAGAAAACTGAATCCCCATCGCTCAGCCTGGAGCTGGAAGAACTGGGAGGCAAGAGTTGGCAGAACGCTGTTCAAGGACTGGGGGCAGCTAGGCACGGGGGTCAGCGGCTGAGCTAGAGAAGAAAAGAATCAAGAGGACGAATGTGGGGATGGCAGAGAGGAAGGCAGCCAAGGGAGAGTTCCGTTCCTCCGCATCGGGGAAGAGGCAGTTAAGTGACCAGCGTCCAGTGCCCCGAGGAGGAGTCGCTGGCATCACTGTCGGAGTCTAGCTCCGCGGCCCTCAAATCGCCCAGAAGCCCGACTGCTCCGTCAAAGCCCTGGCCACAGTTGCAGACACATTGCCTGGTCTAGCGCAATTACATGTTTCATGTTTCAGCTCCCAGACATCAGGGCTCAGGTCTGTTTTCATTTTATCCCAGAGCCTGGCAGAGTGGCACTTGGTAGACACTTGCCAACGGTTCGCTGTCTGAATGTGAGAAACCGTCAAGAGCTTTCGGGGAAGGGCTCAGTGCGCTGAGGGTCCAGAAGCACCAGAGAGAATGCAAGGCATTCTAACTCCAAGGGGGTTTGGCTTGCGTGAGGAAAGGTGCTGCAGAGAGGCTACGGTCACCTACCCACCAGTGTGCAGGATCTACAGACGGGCGGCGGGAGGGCACAGCTCCCCACAGTTTCCAGAGGGCATTCACACCTAATGCCAGGGGCCTCCTAGAGAAAGAAAACCAGGGCCCGCCAGCGGAACGGTGAGCGTGGAGCACGGCTGTGACCCCGTTTCATGGCCGGGAACACTGAGTCCCCGGGGTCAAAATGTAGGTCCTCAGGAGTTGGGGCCAGAGCCTAGGTGGGCGGGAAGCGACAGCCCCAGCGGGCTGCAGGCGCAGAACGCCTGGCGGGCCCCCAGCACTATTTGCGTATCCCCAGCGAGGCAGCAAACGCTCGGCTGCAGTCCCGGGCGGACGTTGCCAGGCGGGGCGGCAGGGTCCCCGGGCGCGCGGACACGCACCCCACCCAGCGGTGCCCAGCCCGCACCAGTTAGCGCCCAACTCGCCAACTCCGGGACTTTCGCAAGGCTCTCGAGGGCGGGGGAGCCACCGAGGAGCGGGACGCACCATCGCGGCTCGAGAGGGGGGAAGCGCTCCGGCCCCGCATCCTGCCAAGCCCGGGCGGGCCAAGACTCTCCGCCAGAGGGCCGAGGCTGCGGTGCAGAAACTCGACAGCCGACCCAGGGGCGAGCGGCCTAGGGCGGGCGGCTCGGCGGGACTCGGGGGCGGTGGCGGCTGCGGCGACCCCCCACCCATGGCGGCGGCGCTGTGGCGGCGCCCGGCTCCCTGGCCGGCGAGCAGCGGAAGTGCCGCGGAGTTGGAGCAGGGCCGGCGCCGCGGCCGCTTCTGCTCGCTGAGCTGCTGCCGCCGCCGGGCGGACGGGCGGACGCGCGGAGCTGGGGGCGGCGCGGCGGGGCCGGCTGGGTGCGGTGGGGCTGACCGGCCCCGATGAGGCGGAAGGAGAAGCGGCTCCTGCAGGCGGTGGCGCTGGTGCTGGCGGCCCTGGTCCTCCTGCCCAACGTGGGGCTTTGGGCGCTGTACCGCGAGCGGCAGCCCGACGGCACCCCCGGGGGTTCGGGGGCGGCGGTGGTCCCGGCGGCGGGACAGGTGAGTCCCCCCGTTGCCACAGGCCGGGAACACCCCCTTCCTGAATTTACTTTTAGCCTGCGATTTCCTCCTCCACCTTCTGCTGTCTGCCTCCTCAGAGTCAGCTTTGACTCTTCAGCTCTTCCCATTTTTTGGATGGGAAAATTGAGTCCTGTTGGGACTTGTCCAGCGTCCCACACCAGTCAGAGACTGAGTCCGAGCTAGAACCCAGGACGCTGTTTCTCACCACACGTTACCACCTTCCTTTCTGTCCCCGTCTGGTATTCCTTGACCTCTTCCCGTGGATCTATTTTGAAGGATCCTATGTGCATCCCTGTATCCCAGGATGATTCCTGCCTTCTGCCAATAGGAATGAAGATTCAGGTTCTTCTATTTCGTGTCCAGTATTTGGTGTCCAGTTACCCCCCCAGCGCCCCCCCCCGCCCCCCCCCCCCTGCCCACAACCCCCACCTGCTGATCCCAGTGTTCCTTGCTCAGGTCAGACCTTTTCTTGATTTCCCATCCGCCCAATGAGACACCTGGGCCTTCCTCCTCTCCCCATTTATTCAACACCCGCACCACCCCCCCCAACTCTAGCCTTTTCCTTCCTCAGATCCTGTGGATTCCTTAAAGAATGTGAAGATCAGGCTCCCATTGAGGCTTCAGGCCCCTGGGGGTGGAGAAGGGGGTGAGTTCCTGGTCCTTAAGGGACCTGCTGCCTTTGACCTTCTGGGAGTCCAGAGGTGGGGCTCTGGTGGGGGGACCCCCAAAATGTCCCAGAAGCTATTGGGGCCCAGTGTCCTGAGGATGGAACACCAGATGCCTTCCCTATCTCTTCGAAACTTGTCTAGTCTGATTAGTTGTAGTGTTTATTGCAGCTAAAACTGGGATTGGCATGGTTTTTGCCTCTTTTGAACTTACCCATGTATATTTGTGTGTATGTGTGTGTGCATGCATTTAGACTAGCAGCTCCCTGATAGCAGAAGCTCTGTCACATCACTCCCACCCTCCCAGGAGGTGCTAGTGAGTGTACTGCTTAAACTGTTTGATACAGTGGAACATTTCAGGCTTTCTTACGGGATTTCCCTGGCCCCATGAGAAGTGGATAATTTGTGTATCAGGGTCAGACTTGACTGATTGTTGGCTGGCCTCGACAAAAGAGGCTGGCTTTTCTGAGATTGATGGTTTTCCTTATTCTTCCCAGTATCAGACTGCTGTCTAGGCAGTCTGGCATCTGGAGCACAGAAGGCCCTTTGCTGCAGAGCTGACCAAGTTGAGCTCAGCCTGTCACTCTGTTAATTGTTGCAAACCATCCTAGAGGGTCTCATTGATCTTTCTGGTAGAGCTTACTGTTTAGAAACTAAGGTTTCCATATGTTTCCTAAACCCCTGGTTCAAACCCTGATAGCCAGCTTAGACCTCTCCCTAAAATTCTGTATCCGTATGGGTTTTCCTTTCATGAAATTCCTTTCCTCTGTTCCTATTCAGTACCAGCATCAGAGTCAGGAGTTTGGGGGTTCTGTCCTCAGCTCTACCACTAACTTACTGTGTGTGTCCTTGATCACCTTTCCTCTCCTTCTCTGAATCTTACTTTCTTGATCTTTAAACCATAAATATTGGTCCAGCTCCAACATTCTGTGATACTATGTGTTCATCAATGAGGAATACAGTGGTCACTTCTTTTTTTCTGTCTTGAGTCAGGAGTTCTTTTTGTAGCATCTCTAACTGTGGAGGCTTCACACTGGACATAGCCCCAGGTCAAGGGGGAGTGTCATACCCTAGGGCCAACTCTCCTTTAGAATAGCTGTAGCCCATTCTAAAATAGTGCTTGATATTTTGCCTCTGCCTGGAGAAAGCCCTCGTATTTCATTTGCTATAGATGCCAAAGACGTCCTGATTTTCATTTCTATAGACCCAGATGTGTAGAGAAGGTCAAGGTTAACTGCCAGTTTGGCCTGAGCTTTCAAAGTAAATTACTCACGTGTGCAAGAGGGTATTGATGGAGTAAGGCAGCCTTTTGGGCAGGGAGAGAGGGGAGCAACAGCTGGGTGCTGCTCAGAGCCCGTAACTGAAATGGATAGATAGGCTTATCTGGGAAGATCTAGTTTTTTGTTCATTTTATTTTCTCTGGAATAGCATGGAGAGGAGGAAGAAGTGGTGAAGGGGGTTTGGGGGGGTTAGAGGGAATACCAACTGATTATCCTTGCTTTAAAGAAAATCTCTTTGCTTCCTGGGAGCAGCAGAATGGAGCTGTCTCCCCAATGATAAGCTCTTCTAGGTGCTACAGGATTCAGCATTCATCTGCTGCCTTTCAAGAACGCCCTGCCAAATTTCCACACAGCCCCTTTTTGTTTCACTCTCCCACAGATGCAGAGCACTGGGCTTGGCCCCCCAGTCCCTTGCTTGAATGTCAGCTCGCCTTGAGGAAAGGGGCTGACTTCTCGGAGTGATGGCGTTCCATCCCTCCTCTCAGTGTACTGGAACATACACGCAACACTCCAGGCTGCTATCTGGGAAATCTGGCATCTTGAGCATACAGAGCTTTTTTGACAGGGCTGACCAGTTCTGAGCTCAGCCTGTCACTCTTAACAATTGTTGAGAGTCATCTTTGAGCACCTCGTTGATCTTTCTGGTAGAAATAACTGCAGAGGCTCAGGAGGGAAGTCTGACAGGACTTTATCCAAATGAAAAATGTGTTCCATATGGATTTGAAATAAGTTTCTTTGGAAGTAACATATCCACTACTCGAGTAGTTCTCTAACTCCTGATTTCTCCACTGGCTTAAAGAATATGAAATTTCAAATTAAGAGTGTTTATCATCTAGAATGAAGGGCTACAAACCTGTCATGCCAGCTTGTCCTGGGTATACCTCTGAAGCTGGGTAGGATAGCTGATTTATAAAGGACACATAATGCTTCTAGGATTTTGGCAGTCATCTGGTCAGACAGTTGGCTTCTTGGGAAGCTGCAAAACCAAACAAGAAAAGCCAGTCTTGAAGTCATCTTCCTTTTAATTTGTGGGTCCCTCTCATTCCAAGCCCCAATCTGTTTAACATCTTGGTTTAATTCAACAGTCTATTTCATATTCCAGGGTTGGGACATGTTATTAAAATCTCAAGTAAGGAAACTCAGTGTAGTCTCTCCTCATTTCTGAGCCATAATCTCTTATTGAAAAATGACTTCACTGGATAATAGCATATGTGGAATAGAAATTGGTGGAATAATGGAATACCAATGACTAATTTTCAAGTATCAGGATTTCTTTCTCACTGTGTTAGAGCTGAACTTTATTCGTAGAACATCCAGAAATCAATATGTTATTTTCTCTTTTTTTCAGTCTTCCTGGTGGCAGAAGCGTTGCCCATCAGAAAGTTAAGTATCATAGAAATGTAGCCTTGGAATGATTTCCTTAATTTTCCACAGAAGGATTAGTATCCTTTAACTTGCTAATCACTCCTCTGTCTGCATGCCCAGGTGAAATCTGACACTACTAGGGAAGGGTTGTTGATTTGCCAGAACAAATCTGGCTCCCCGCATTCTTTCTCTCATTCTTGGCTTGCAGTCTACCAAGGAGCCCAGCTGACGAAGGCCTGGGAACAGAGATCTGGCTTTTAGTCTTTTCTCCTGCCCTAAACTCACTGTGTGACCTCAGGAAAGAGGTTTAATCTCTCTGGGCCGTAGATTCATCGTCTGCTAAGTGAGGCTTAGATTCAGAAGGGAAAAGGCAAATGCATATTATAATGATGCTTCCCCTCCCATAGACAGGGCAGATATTGCTAATCAATCTTTTTGTGTCTATTATCAGACTTGGGCTGAGAGTGTTCTCAGCAGGACTACTCAAGTAGAGTTAATGACATACAGAAACTCATTTGCAATGTAGGGAATAAATATTTTGTTAGGGCTTTTCCAACTCCTAACATCCTGAGGGTCTGTGAATATGCTTGGAAGCACATCTGAATAGTGGTAGTATGTTTAAACAGGCCTCTGTATCTAACTTGTTATGGGGCCACAACTTAGGGGTATGTTCTTATTTCAATGTCTTTTCTCAGGCTGTAGTCTAAGGATGTTTCGCCTTTGATCTGTTGGTTCCGGTGACATGGTAACAGATAATGGAATCAGGAATGAAAAGCAAAAGCCCATTTATAAAAAGATAACCATCTAGCTTGCTAATTGTACCTTGTCCACAGTCAGCTCTTACACAGAGATGGCATCAGGATCTCCTCACTGAATCAAAAGCACCTTGAGGCAAACCTGGCAGCTACAAGTAAGCCCCATGGCAGCTAAATGCTCATGCGGTGTTTGCAGAGGTTCCTGTGTTACATATATCTGACGCTCTGCATCCCATATGTGTGTCAGAGCTGGTAAGGGAAGGCCTTGAATAAGAGTCTTGTTTCTCCAGAGAACCTCTGTCCTCGAGCCCAGTGGAGTGGGGAAAGGAGGTAGCCCATACACACCTGAATTCCCATGGCAAGAAGTGTATCGTGGCCTCCCCTGCTGGAAATGGAACACACCCTCTTCTAGCACAAAGCACAAGATTTGGCACTTGGTAGACAAGATGTGTTTGCTGAATGATTCAAATGTATCAGAGCATGCTGGAGGCTTCAGAAGTCATCTAGTCATCCAGTCCCCTCAATTTGTAGGTATGAAAACTGAGGCTGAGAAAAGGGGAAACAAATTTAAAAAGTTCCCTTAGGGAGGAATGCAGATCAGAATACATTCTCCAAGTTCTCGTTCTGTTTCACCATAAGAAATTTTTTCCCCCCATATACCTAATATTTGATCCTTTTCTACCATTATTTCTCTCAGGAACCAAGGTTATCACTCCAAATTTTGGAGGCCAGTGCTGGGACTTACCTGCCTATTTTTTTGTAGATCCATTTTTGTACATTTTCTTTCCAACATTTTATAGTTTTAAAAGTAACTAAAATGGATTGAAATTTATGTGGCAAAGGGCCGGGAGTGGAGGAATTAAAGGCCACGTAGCACATGGCACCATTACTGCTATCCCTGATAGACAGAGAGA